CAGACAAGTGCGTAACATATTGGAAACGAAGAGTGGCATTCTGGCTAAAATAGTTGAAAGTCTTTTGTAAGACAACTGAATGACAGAAAGAAAGAAGTCTCAAAGAATTTGTTTATTCTGGCACGAACTTCATACAAAAAAGCTCCCTTGTCAGCATTATGGTGAAAAGTTCTTGTCACAGAAAGCCTTCACTTTATTCACGCTGCTTCAACAGTCACCGAGTGAGGAAAGCACTGACGTGCCTGCCATTCGAAAGAGCCAAGGTCGAGTCATCTTTTTCTTAATTTAAATTTCTTTCAGGTTTCAGGTTTCAATGTTTTAAAAAGAAAAACATTTATATACATATATGTATACTTTTTAATTTGTTTAATTTGGAAACATTTATTTTATTTGTTTAATTTATTCTTTTTTTTATTTTTTAATAATAATTTTTAGTTTTATTGCTTTACAAAAAATAAAAATAATTTAATTTTATTTTCGGAGGCTTGTCTTTTTTACCTTATTAAATCATTTTGTTTTCTTTTTTAATTTAAATTTTAAATTTTCTTGTTTAAAAAGTAAAAATAGTTAAATGCCATTACATTTTTAGAAACTTATTTTATTTATTAGATATTATTATTTTTTTTTTCTCTTTTTTAATTTGATTTTCTTTAAACTTTTAAAAGAGAAAAATACATGTTTTTAATAAAATTTTTAGAAACTTATTTTATTTATTAAATTTATTTATTTTACGTTTAGTTGTAAGATTCTATTGTTTTAAAGAGAAACTTTAATTTTTGAATGATCATTTAATTTAAAGAACCTGGTTTTATTTTTTCTTTTTTAACTTAATTTTCCTTTAATTTTTAGTTTTTATTCTTATAAAAAGGAAAAAATATATTTTTAAGCGACTTATAACATTTCCCGCATAAACCAAGTGCAGCGAACACACACACGCACTTGTGTTTAAAAGTAATTCGCTCATTCTTAATTGGGAATGCATTTTATATGCAATTCTCAAATCTCTCTTCGCTGAACATAGTCAAGTGATAATTCGCTGGTATTTCCAGCCATAGTCAATGCTAACCCAGCTACGGCTTACAAGCCACACAGAGGCTCTGCATGAATGCATCCCTGAATAAATCCCAGCTCATTGCACAGCAGCCTACGGCAGCTAGAGCATGACTCCTCCAATGGAGTCCCCCAATTAATACATGGTAAAAGGGTCACATCTTGCGCTACCGCTTCATCAGCCTGCACGCATATCTCTCTCTCTCTCTGTCATATCAGGCAGGTTGACTTGATGTGCACCTATAAACCATATAAACACTCTCAAAGGGAATCCCTACCTCATTTACCCCTCTAACTCGATCACATCTCTAAACCTGGTCTCGCGCTATCCCTCCGGTGTTGTTCCGAACAAGGCTCATCATATCATCTGTGGAAATACTAGATCTTTTACAGAAGGTAGCTGTGAGCTCACCGAATCGCTTGCAATCAAAACATCGAATACGTAACATCGGCTTTTTACGACTATAAATCACCCGACTTCGATGATTTGTATACCCAGGCTATCTTGAGATTTGGACTAAGCTTATCTTACCAATCTTAAAGGATATGCGTATTTACTGCAAGTTAAATAAGATCATACATACATACATATCCTTTCCTTGAAGACTAGTGGAAGTCGTCTTTAGCCCCAGAGCTTGAAAACCTCACTTATTTGCAAAGTGTACTTCCAAGTATGAAATCTCTTTTAGCAAAGGTGTTCAAAAAGTGGTATACATAGAAGACATGCGCAAGGGAGCACTATCGCCATTCGTTTTTTTTTCTAAAAATTTAAGGAGCGATGCTTGGTAAGTTAAGTGTTGAAAAAAGTTGCCAAAATTCCGTAAATTTTAAAAGCTGTAATTACAACTACTAAAATCACGTTATAAGTTAATTTTAATAACCCTCTTTTGTTGCGAATGAATGGTTTGCTATAGAAAGCATACACTAAAATATTCGATATACAAATAACTAGTATTTATGTAGTTATATAAACCTATGCAGGTAATATACTAAATATGCATAAGTATGTGTATAAATATGTATGTATAGGTGTGGTTATAGATATGTATACCTAAAGGCTACGGTTTATCTTAATCCAACTAAGCTAAAAGTATGTATGCCTGTAAATATATCTTTTTTCAACATGAAATTACTTACTAAAGTGAATATCTAATTAAATTTCCATATATGTATGAATTGAGAAAAACAAATCTTTCATAAAATAAATTTGTGTTTAGACATAGCAGAATATCGGTAATCAAGCATTCTCTTGCTGATTTGAATCATCCTCAGTTTTTCAATTAATCTCATTCCGTTTTCACTTACCAGAAACGTTTGTATAAACTGCCTTATAATCTGCAATTCATTTAAGAACGAGTTAGTATTTCTAGAGAAAAATTGATCTGAACTTTATCTGAATTTATTTGCATAGCTGCGAGAGATTCGAAAAAGTAGCAGCAAGCGAGTAAATGCAAACCATAAGCAGCGAGTTTTTATGCAACGGCTGCACCAAATACGAATGGTTTGAGAGAGGCCGATCGATTTAAATTTTGTTTTAACTAACTCGTCCCACGATCGAGGATATAAGGGATGAAAGAGTTGTATTTATGCTCAGCTGTAATTAAATTACTACAAAGTTTATTTGTCTTCACAGTTTAGCGGCGATTCATTTGAGTACTCATCGAACACTCGAAAATTGTTTTCGAAGGAAAAAAAATATTGATATCCTTAACCAGAATATTATTATTATTTTTTTTTTTTTGGTTATCTACAATCTACTTACCACAGCGGTTTTTCGTTTTTTTATTTCAAAAGTATGTAAGTTTTTGCAAGTATCTACTAAAAAGATTTTCAACAAATTGCATTCCGAATAATTATGCGCAAGTTCTTGACAATCAGAAATTATATATTTTTGTTTTTAATTTAAAAAAATAATAATATTCCCTACACCCATTATTAAAGTAAACGCGATTTAGGTAACATATTGGTTTAAATTTGGAAAGGATAACTAGGTAACTAGCTTAGTAAAATAATAGGACTTTTTTAAGACCTACTCGTCCAAGAAACTTCATTCATTTTATTTTATTTTATTCTACATCACATTCTCCTTAATTTGGTACCCATAATTTAACTAAATAATTTTTTGCATTAATCAAATCGTTGATGTTTCAAAGTTCTATATAAGATAAACCTGACGTCAGAGAGAAAACCTAAAAACGCAGTTTTACTATAATTAAGCCTCAGTTGCGTGAAGGTATTTTGTAGTTGCAAAGGTTGCTCCTTTTAACTTTTCTTATTTTTCAAAAATTGCCGGTGTATAAATGCGTTTTACAGCCATTTGAAAAAAACTGCACTCAAACATTTTTAATAAAACTAGAAGTTAAAAAATTACCCTTTTAAGCCCTTCGGCCGTCAAGGGTTAAAATATTATCTTTACAAAAATTTTAGAAAATCATATGCCAGTATATAAAAAAACCCACTAGTTTAACATCTACTTATTTAGACGTAATTATTTTTGCTAAGAAAAACCGGCATTTAGACCATAATGGCAGGGTGTAATTATTCGGTTCCTTTTGGGCTTTTTACATGTAGAAAAAAATCGCGCTCTTATGTAGTTGAAGAAGTGTTTTTAGTGTGATAAAGAACTTTTTTAACTTCATTATGAACTTACTTTTTAAATGTAAAACCTTGAATGCCTATTTACATAGTCGCCAGTTGGGTGTAGGGTGCGGGCGTAGTTTAATTCGAAAGCAATTGAGCGATATGCATATTATGTAATGTCTAAAGTTCTGGCATCTACATTAATAAATCATGCTAATATTGCTACCAACTACTTCCTAGGTATAGTTATTTATGTGTGCTGAAGAGTGAGAAAAGAGAATAGATGCGCAAAATAATTAAATATTTCAAGAAAATAAAAAACATTGAATATTCTAAATTGAAAGTAAGGCAAATCAAAGGTCTTCCTGAAAAAATAAAATAATATTGAAGAGCAAATTAGTAGCAAGTTAAGTTAGTAGTAGGTGGGGGTTGTAAATAGTTTGTGTGTTGGTTTTTTGAAACGGCAGTTTGGTGAAATGTTGACTGGCAAAAGTTTGGTAGCATTTTAATGGAAAATTTTGAAACTAATCGTGAGGCTTCAAATTAGCTAAAATAATTGCATGAAACTTCTAGGCGTAAACGAAGTTTGTGCTGGCGCTGAGCACGTGAGTGAGAGAATAATGCACAAAACTAATTGCAAAAATTTGCTCCAAACAAGAAAGAAAGAAGAAGAATAATACATACATACATATTGCACAAAAATATATGAAAATATGTATGCAAAATAGAAATAAAAAACAAGGAAAAACAATATACATATGTATGCACACGTGAGACGGCTCTGAAAGCAAAAAATTTATGGCAAGACAGCCTGGAGTTGCAACTTGATTGAAAAATTTATTGCAAGCAAAAAAGATCGTAAAGCAATAGTTGAAAAATTTTAAGCGTTTAAATAAAAATTGCAATTTTAATTTAATTTTTTTAATTTTAAATCGGCATTTTCGCAGTCCCTGAAATCTTATTTAAGCAACTAATTAATTAATTATGTAGCAAATTTTTACGTTCAACTTGAATAAATTTAGCGAATTGAATTAAATCAGAATGAGATAGAGAGCGACAGAGTAAGGAATAAATAATTACAAAAACTAAGAGCGATACGTCATCGCCTGCATTCGAATTGCATATAAAAATATGTAGGTAACGAAAGTTTTCTATTTATGTAAATTTACTTATTAGCAATACAAGTTTTTCATATATTAGTTAATTTCAATTTAAATGGCTGAACAATCGAACAAAATTAATGGCAAGACAAAATTCTTGCCGACTACTTACAGTTGCGTCAGTTGCCTGTGATTTTTGGATAATCAATTGCGATGTTGCGGTGGTGAAGAGTGGCAGTGGCAGTGGCAGTGGCGGTGGCGGTGGCAGTGGGTATGGTGGTCGTGGTGGAAATGTGGTGGCAAATGTGGTGACAGTGGTGGTGGTGGTGGTGGTTATGGAGGAGTAGTGATTGGCAAAATGTGATTGTTGCATTGTCGGTGGTTGTGGTGGTAGTTGCGACGACATTCAAGTGTTGTTGTGATGCAATTTGTTTTGTTTATGTATACATATTTTTTTTTTGTATTGTTTTAGGTAGAATTAGGATTTTCATTTAGTAAATTGAAAGCGTTTCAAATTCCATTCGCATGTTGGTGTGGTGGTGTGACATTTGTTTTTGTTTTTATTGCATGTATTGTTGTTGTTGTCAAGTTAAATTTTTCATCACAACAGTGTACATTGCGTTTCCCATGTGTGGAAAAGTATCCAAAAGTTATTGACGTGTTTGTAGATTTCAAGTGTTTGCCAATGCAAAAACCATTTTAAGCGCAATTTTTGCGGATTTTCATGTTTTTTTTTTTTTGCAATGTATTCGGTTCGCGTTTGATTATTTTGTGCAAGTATGTGATGATAATGTTTTTGATTTTTTTTTTTTTGATATCGTGGTTTTGTGACGTTGGCAGTGGAGGTGCGTGTTTTGCAGAAGCAAAAAAAAAATGACAAAAAGGCTCTTAAATGAATATAATTTAATAAATTAAATTCTGTTTTAAAAGCATAAATTTAATCCGAATGCTATGTTAAAGTTGAGCTAAATATGTATAAAACTTAAGTCGCTTAATGATTAATTTTAAACTAAAATTTTTTTTATAAATTTTATGCTTAAAGGTCTTGCCAACTCATACATGTAATTTCCTAATTTTTTTTTCAATCGAATTGTGATATTACTCCAAACAATTTTATGGCAAAAAATAAATTATATCAACTCTGAATATCGGTAAATCGGTAAAATGTATGATTTTTTTTTGTTGTAATTGTTGTTGCTGTTCTTGTTATTACTTACAGAAAGAGTTAGAGCTTACAACTTGTTGTAGACAAACGCAAAATATAGCACAGTTGTTGGTAGGTAAGTACATAGTTAAATTAGTAAGTAATAGTAAGTAAGTTGGAAAATCTTAGGAGTTATTTAAAAGAGCATTCCATAAAGTATTTTAAACAAATTAAAATTAACACTTAAACATTCTAGCATAGATAAAGTGAACATATGTATTTATTATTGTACGAGCATGTATGTTTTGAAAATGTTTAGTAGCATGAACACGGAATAAATATTTTTGTTTTTTGTGATGAAAAATATGAAACCATAAATAAAGTAGAGTCCTAAGGCCACTTTCAGCGATCACTTTAAAGGCCAGATTGTCTTCACTTTTCACGGACATATATTTGCAAGAGAATTACTACGTCATACACCCAGAAAAAAAATAGCTAAAAATATTTCCCTCAACACATGATTTGGTAAATTTAACTAGACCAAATTACGTGTTGAGAGAAATACATTCAGCTGATTGTTTTCTGCGTGTAGCTTTGAAATTATGCTGCTCAAAGTCACAGCACAGAAGATCTGAGTTTTGTTTTATTGGCACTCAAAAGTTGCAGTGTGTCTTTGCATTACAAAAGCTTTAAGAAAAATCAATTTAAGTTAAAAAAAAAATTATTTTGTGCTTTTTTTTAATACGTTAAGTACTTTGTGCCTGCACTTCGAATCACCACAATCCTGCATTCTTCCCTAGCCTTTTAAAGATTTAAAAAGAGTATAAATTCAAAGTATGGTGAAAGCATGGGCATCACTAATTGGGCGTTTAAATTTTAAAACTGAAATTGGCCCTAGATTTAGATCACAAACAACCAAAAAAAACATAAATAATTAAAATGACCTCAGTAACTGCAAAGTAAAATAAATCCGGATACATATTTTCCACATTCAACGGAAAAGAAGTTCGAACAGAGTAAAAGTCCATCGAGATTCATTCGATAAAAACATATTTTGGAAAAACATTAAAAAGGCTCAGCACACGGACATCAGTCATAGAATTTTTATTAAGTCTAATCAACTTTGGGAAAACGTTGAATATTTTTCCATTCTTAAAATTAAAATTTAATAACTTTAACTTTAAAAAATTGTGGCTGAGAAACTACTTAATCAGTGGAAAGTAAATTAATGTAAATTGTAGAATCTTTACTCATGGCTCCAGCTGGCATTGAATATGATGGGGGCGTATATCTTTTAGCTTTTTGGTTGAAATATAATCGCAATACTTAGGGAAATGGGCAGTGAAAAGGTGAAGAGGCCAGAGTATTTAATAGACGTGCAGTTTATTAAGGCATTAGCCAACCCTTCAATGAAATGGAAGACTTTACTGTACACAGTTAAAAGTGGGAGAATTGTATAAAGGTGTCTCAAATAAGATAAACCTGTTGAATCCACTGAACTTAAAGTTTCAGAAAATTTAGATTTTCCCAGGCTTAGTAGTATTAGTTTGCTAAAAATTTAGTTATATAATTTGTGTATTTTCATAGTTAATTCTTCCTTTTCGCTTTTCGCGACGGACTTATTTCCAGATTCTATACATATACAGGGAATATTGCATTCGATAAAGTCGCCAAATGAATAACTATGGTGTGCAAACCTCTATCAGGCAGATCCTGGGGATACACACCAAGGATGCTGACATTGATGTACACCATGGTAGCATAACCAATAATAACATATGGGGTATCAGGATTCAACGTAAAGGTCATTCTTGTACCCGAACTACAGCATCTCACAGGTCACTTTATTATGGAGAGACACGTACTGGCGAGCATATTATAGTGGCATACAGACGGCTCTAAGGTGCTTCAGCATATTGAATCAGGAGTATACGGACCGATTCTTAAGTATGCAGTGCCCTTCGGGACGTTCCCTAGCGTCCTACGAGTGGAAGTTTGAGAAATTAGTCCGAGTTATAGTTAGGCGGCACTTTTACCTCTGTCATCCTTCGGGGTCAAATCCTCATTGGTTTTGGCGTATATTGGGAAGTTTAATGTCCTGGCTAAGAAAAATGCTATCTAACTGATACGGGTACCAGAAAGTGTTGGCAAAATGTTAATCTGATTTAGGATCAAAAATTAGCGATTAAAATGTTAATCGCGATTAACGATTAAAATTAATTAATCGTAATCATCTGCACGATTAATGATTATTTTTTTTTTTTAACCTTTAATCGTCGGTTGTGGTTACGATTAATTAATTTTAATCATTAATCATTAATCCGATTAAAAATAAAATCTGATTAAGTGCTCTAGTTTGTCCGAATTTGAAACAAAACAAGAGTTATAGTTATTGTTTTGTGTTTCACGCTTATAAAAACACACAATATATAAAAAAAATTATTATTATATTTATTAGTAATATATAAGCAGGGAATTAATGAAAACGCATACCAAATTGCTTAGATTGATAAGGAAAACCGACTTCGCCATACCCGGTTAACTGACCTTGCGTGCACACGAAAATTCCAGCGTAAATTAATTAATCACCAAACCTACTTAATCAAATTAATGGTTAATGATTAAAAATTAATTTTTTTAATCGCGGTTATGATAACCAGCTTATCAATTAATCATGATTAACTGTAATTGGATTGAATTCAATCGAATTAACCAATTGATTAAAAAATCAATCGATTAGTAGCAACACTGGTACCAAGGCAGATGGTAGTCGGGGAAATGAGGAAACTGATCACTCATCAAGAAGGGCTGGTGCCTCGACTACGACAAAGGGGGTGCCCAGAACTGCGACGGTTGCTTCTCAGATTGAAAAGGTTGGCCACATACTTTAATTGTAGCAATAGTCATACAACTGAAAAGAAAATACCAAACTGGTGAAACTGCATTGGCGACACACCATGGGGTTCATCAAGTTACGAGCTTACCATGGAGGGATAATCTAAAATGATACAGATTTCTCATAAACCTTCCCAAGTTGAGGCCAAGAATTATTACAGTTTATTTGACTGCTCATTGTAGCCATTTATACAAGCTAGGGATTTGGTCAAGCGATCTAATCGTATATGTAGAGAAGCAAACAACTTTCCCGTTAAAACTTAAACGAATTTGTACGACGCCTTGGAGACTTATCTAGTAAAAGCAATTATTCAGGAAGGAAGGCTACGGTTGTAAGCAGAGGAGCGTATGAACATATATACATATTAAAATATCTTTACTTTATAATTCCTGTGTTCGTAATTACTTAGGGTATTGGAGAGAAGCAATTTCGTTAGTAGTTACACTCGATTAGTATGTACTTATTTACATACTCGCCTAAAGTAAACAAAGTACAATTTCCTACTACTTAAATAATAAATTGCATGGTATCGCAGCTACACACGAAAGTAACGACTATTAGTCAAGCTTACGGTTAGTGGTAATTTTAGCCTTTTAGTTTAGCTACAGAGCCTACTAGCCTGCGCGACTGCCATAAATTACTTTAAACTAAAAAAATAAAAATAAAATAAAAAATCGCACGTACAATTGGAAAATGCCTACCAATACAATAAGCGTTGGTAAAGGGTTTAAACAAAACAATAAAATAACATTTTTCGATGGTTGAAAGGAGGATCAACCTATCTCGGCAGCCACTTATCTCAGAAAGTTTATCAACAACGCCTTATTTCAGAATTTCCTTGAAGAACGCCTTATTTTAGGAAAACGCCCTATTTCAGCACAATTTTCATGTATTTTCGATTGAGATCGTTCTTCAACCAAATTCTGAGATATAGCGTTTTTCATTAAAATTCTGAATTGGGACGTTCTTCAATCAAATTCGGAAATAGGGCCTTCTGAGTAGGGGCATTTTCAAATTGGCTGCCGAGATACATATGTAGGTCGTTCTTCCACTCAGGCATACGAAATTACAATAAAACATTATTAAACACAAATGTTTTCCAACAAATGTCAACAACAAAAACACACATAAAATTTTACAAATAGGAAAACAACTTTATGATTATTGTAGTAAGTATTGGTGTAAGAAGTGTTTTGTACTTACATCGTGCTGGTGTTGTAATTGTAGTAGTTGTTGTAGTAGGTAAGTAGTAGATGAGTTTTTGTAGATTTGTTTTATTATTAGCAGTATTTTTTTTTTTTCAATTCATTTTTTTTTTTGAATGTTGTTGTGATTGCGAATGTTGGTAATTTTTTAACAAATTTTTGTTTGATTTTTATGTTTTCGGTTGATGAAAGAGATTTTTGAAACGACAGCAAGAAAATTTAGATTTGACAATACAGGAAGTTTTATAAAAGATTTATAAGTTTTTTTTTTTTTGACGATGAAGATTTTTAGTTCGTGTACAATAATACATATTTGTTTGCACAGCCAAAAGGACAATTGTTTTGAGCGAAAAAAAAAATAGTTTAATATTTTTTTAGATAAGAAGAAAAAAGTATATAGTTGTATACATTCAGTGTTTTAGGTGAAATATTTGAAGTGACATCGTATCGAAATGTCGTGCAAGTGTTGGGATTTTGTTGTAGTATATTCATGGGAGTATAGAAGTTTTGTTTTGTTTTTTTTGGTTGTGTTTATTTTGAGTGGTAAATATATTTAAGTGAGTTTTAGTGGGTATTGGAATTTTTTTTTTGTTTTTTGGTTGGTTTTTTTTTTTGTTTTGTTTTTGTATATGAGACCCCATTTCGTATTTGGTATTTGATTTTGTGTGTTTGTACACAAATAAAGTACGAAAAAAAGGAAAATTTAAAAGAATTATGATTATTATTTTTTTTTTGCGGTGATTCATTGCAGAATTTATACGTACGTATACAAATGTACATATTATAAATTACTTAGNGTAAAATTATTAAAATTGATAATATATTGAATAAGGCGTAAAGAGGTCATGAATGAATTGTATGTACGTAGGTGAAGTAGTTATAAATAAGTCTGTATATATATAAGGCCTGAAAATTCGAACGTATATATCGTCGCATTTTTTTTTGCCATTTAGAAATGAACTATGCATCATACGAAATAATTTATTTTATGATAGAAATATATATATTTTTTTTTACTCGAAGTAGTTTTATTTCCCATAAAACTTTGTTGGTCTGCAAGTATCTATTGGCAAGTTGCGTTTTTTTCGGTATATAATTTTAAATACTGTTAACAAATAAAGCTGAATACGTAGCTTTTCTATTAATTAATAATTTCAAAAACGCTTTAAGCAACGCAGAATCGAAAGCACGCTTGCAGCCTTATCTCAATGAACGCAAACAATTAATAGACAGTTGGTGATTATACATATTCAATACGTACGTATATAGTAAGCAAGTTTATGCATTTAAATAAATTTTTGTTTATACTGAATTATTTGCGTATATATAGTTTGCTTTTCGATGCTAAACACAATAAACACGACCTAACAGCAAAATGCATTCATTCATTAATATTTAAATACACTTCGTATACATATGTATGCATAGGTAGATATTTATGTAATTTTAAGAAAACAGTACGAATACTCATTATTTTGTAAATAAATATACGTATTTAATGTAGCAATACGCATAACTTGCTTAAAGACAATATTCAAAGCTAACATTGCTTCGCTTCGCAAATAGTAAAACAATTTTTTATAGCTGTTTTTTTCTGTTTTTTTTTTTGTGGCATTTGGCTGAGCAACAGCTCTTAGTAAACCAAGTTAAAAGAACAACGGTGCTAAGCAATTGTTTTTCATGTAAATAAATATGCAATAATTACCCCGAATTCCATCCATAGCGCATCTACGATACTGCCCACAACAGTAATGAGATCGAAAATGTTCCATGGGTCCTTGAAGAAATTCTATAAAAGCGAGAAAGATTAAGAAACAGTTTTAGTAAAAAAAAAACCATCGCATATCGGATACACTTCAATATTTATATATTTAGTTATTTAATAGCGGCTGAAATTTACAATGCAGTTACTCGCTGTTTAGAAAACTTTTATTTTTATTTTTTTGTTTTTATATAAAATTTTTTTCGTCCACCAAATCGACACTTGGTTTTTTAACTTAGTTCTACAAAATTGTATACCTACCGTACATCCAAAGGCTATAACTTTGAATATGGTCTCCAAAAAGAAGAATAATGTGAATACCAGATTCATGTAGTTCAATATATCACTATGAGTTGGCGGTGCATCATGAAACTACAAAAACAAAAATCATCAAAAAATGATTGCTTTTTTTTGGTTTTACTTGGTGGAAAAGGGGGAAAACCAATATGTATATTTACGTATCTATGAATCATAATACGCAATAAAAATGGGTTAGTAATCTAACTTTTAATGAAATAAAGTTCAAAATGACCAAATCACGATTGAATATTTTTACAAAAAAAAATTATATAGAATGTAATGGCACAAAACATTTCTCGAGTTCTTCTGTAGCTTTTAGTTTGCGTAAATTGTTTTCCGATTTTGAGGAGCAAAACTGACTTCAGTTCATTCTAAACGAATGATTAATGTGTTTTCTCGCCAAGTGATGTTAGAATTGAAAAACTGCCTCGAAAACTAAAGAAAATTCCGATAACGCTGTGGGGAAAATTTCAAGTTTTGAAATGACAGAAAAATACGCCGAAAAACGTAAACTTAATGTAGAGTCGCGGATTGTGGCTCTGTATACCGTTTTTCAGATCAGGTAATTTTCTCAAGATATTTTAATTTTTACCAAAAAAATCCAAACTTTAACAAGGAAAAAATTAAAAAAAAAAATCTTTCGCACTATTTTAATTTGCATTAAATCCTGTTCTTTTACTAACGATAAAAACCGATAAATAAACAAGTTGTAAATGGTCAAACGGAAATGTCCAATATTTTTTATATAAAATTGGTGCAGGAAATAATGCTACCCATACGCCACATCATACATGTTCGTACCCGTACATAATCGTACATGGCATATAAGTAGCAATTTCCGTGTTTAATTTCATTCGTAATGAAGACTTAAAATGAAAAATCTTGGAAAAATTACCTGTTCTAAAAAACCGGTGTACAGAACCGTAATCTACGACCCAAAATTAGGTTTAAGTGTCTCTGATTTTTTTTTTACTAAATATTAGCTGATAATGATTTTATTAAGAAGGTATAACAATGGCTCGTCATAAGCGCCCTTGTTTTTTATTGCCTTGAATATTTATGTAGTAAAATTGTTTTCCAAATAACTAAGCCAGGCTGCTGCTAACCCACAATAGCTTAGTGTAGAGTGGATTTAGGCACCAACTTGAAGAAAATAAGCGAACCTGGAATGCCTCGAAAGACGAGATACGTATTAGAAATTTCGGATGAAATTTACATGGAATTGATTAATAATTTTTTTCAAGTTTTTATATACCAAATTCGTTGGGACTCCAATATTTTTACTTGAGTAAGTTAATTTTAAATTTATTTATTTTAATCTTGCTACGCAAACAAACGTGAATTGGCCAATTGGTATAATAAATATTTAAACTTTAAAAAGAAAACTATATAAACAAAAACTATGGGATCACAGTATTTTTATGTTTGTAAACGTGTTTGCTCTAATTCTACTTTTCTGTTATCAATTAAGGGTTTCATTTACACATAGCACTTAAAAAAAAACGTTTATTTTAAATTAATGCTAATTAATATGTTTGCGTAACCCTAGGATTAAAGGGTAGAGCATATGCTTTTACTAACAATTTTAAGACAAAAAAACTGGCTACTTATTATATTAGCTAAAGCCGTGTACTTTCATATATTTGATTGTAGGTTTCTTTATGTATATTTTATATTGTAATTTTCGAGTAAAAAATCTATACTAAATCACTTTACGAATTTTGACTAAAACGAAAATCTAAAAAAACTACCAAGGGAGATTGGTTTTGTATGTACATCTTTACATAAAGCTCTATTTCAATTAAAAAATGAATGAATGAAAACTCTAGCACTATGATCTTTTACGCAAATTAGTCTAATTAGAAAATGTTCCGAGAGTTCAGCGCTTTGATTTCCTTATAGCTATCATAATATACAAATGCAACACGGTTAGGCAGTCTGCCTACTAATATTTTAAATGTAGCCTTTTCTGGCTTGAAGTACTATGTAGAAGAAGCTGCGATTGATACTCCTTTTCATTTAGCTTTATGGAAAATTTGCTTCTGTCAGACAATGTTTTCATTCGAATCTTTATCTACGATTTATATTAACTTTCGATTTCTACATGAAGACAAGTACCAGTAATGGATAAGTTGGGTGCACTCAATACGTACTTGTACCCTATAAAATTTAATTCACATTCTACTAACCTCGGTATTGATTTTGCTAGTGGCAAACATAATGATAATTCTAAAGAAATTGATACCTATGCTACGTAGATTTTCTATAGAACCCTACAAGGAATACCAAAAAATGTTTAAGGCATGCGTCGCAGAGGGTACTTTAGAAAAAATCAACAAAATAAATATTTCGGGAACGAGAAAAGAAAAGAAAGAGACGTACGCTATTCTAAAGCTTTTGAGATGGGAAATTCAGACAAAATATTTTGATGAAAGTATTACCTTGACTTTTAAAATTACCCTGAAATATGAGGGTATTAAAATTTTGTTTGTACTGAAGCCAGTGTGCAATGAAAATTTTAAAAATTTTGAACACATATTTTTGCTCTTCCTGAGTCGAGGAATCTACGGGTTTTAGTCTTTTTTAAAGTTTTACAAGCTGATTTTAAGTAAAAAGACATTTTCAAGATCTGATTAAATGAAGAATAACCTTCACCTCAAAACCGACCTTTTCGAGTTTTTTGTTTTATTTTTACCTAAAACATGCAATGTACCTAAAAAACCTAATTTTTTTTTGTTTTTTTTTTTTTACCATGGAAATGGATTACTTTTTAAAAGTATATTGCAAACTTGTTTTATGCCAGAAAAAAAAGGAAAATTACAAACTTAGCACAGTTATTTAAATATTCCGTTTGCTTGATGCCAGATGCGCCACCATAACAAGGGCATTGCAATTAGGAGATGCACACTTTTTTTTTTTTTGGACGGCCACTAAAAGCAAATTTCAAATTCTCCCTATGAGATTTCTTGGCATTTTTGTAGTTCCTAACATTTCCTGGCATTAGCTAGACCTCGAGTAGAAAAAAATATATAACTTCTTTAGACTTGCATTTTTTATTCCTGACTTCCATTTCTTAAAAGTAAACCCAATTTTATTGTTGATTTTTTGTTTGTGTTTTTTTTTTGCCTAGCTGTGCTTTGGTTCGAGTAGTGTTAAGCTGGAGTATAAAAGTTTCGCTGTGTTAGAATCGCCATGCAGTAATGCTATTTATTTGCAAAGGCAATATACATAAACAAATGGAACAAATTGTAAAACAACAACGTTTATGAAGAAAGAGAAGCAAGTTGAACCATTGAAAATTGTGCTCCACGGCGTGCTTTACAAAATTCAAAGTATTTTATAAACACATGCAATTTTGTAAATGTACTTAGCGGCACAAAAAAAATAAAATTAAATAGTTGACACCGAAAAAAATTGCAACAAAACTCACCTTTTGGACTGTCATTCTTTATACGAAAATATTACGTATACGCACTGTTTTTTATGTACCATTTGACGCTTACAAGCGCAACTAATCGTCTGGTAAGACATCAGCTTTTCTAATAACTTTCTCTTTACATTGTAAATTTCAGCTGATATTTAGCGGTAATGAATTACCAAAAGCTTTATACCGTGTTTACATGAGGCGATTTTACAGGCAACTTTAAGTTGAAAGCAACAATCGCCTGGTGTGAATGGCCTTTCAATTAATCGTTTCCAATGATGTTGGGGGGGGCAGCCAACTTTTGATTCAACTAATAGGCTCTAAAATTTACTCCAAAATTGCCCCATGTGAATGCCGTTTTACTAACACCATGCATATAGTATTCCGCTTTTGGTCATACAAATATTTGAACCACTCTCCGTTCTTTCAATTTACATTTTACTATTTATACCACCTACCTTTACACCAAATCCAATTATTTTCAGTACTGTCTCAACGCTGAACATCCCCGTGAATCCCATGTTGATATATTTTAGTGATTTCTCATACATTTCACCTTGATTATGGTACTGTAGAAATTCATTATTAGTTTGGTTTTTGATTTAATATAGGCAATACATTTATGTATGTATGTAAAAATAAATTTAAAAATTTTAACTTATAAAATTTACAATTTAATACATAGAAATACATATTATAATGCTTGTTTGTGTTAGTTAGTCTTTGCTAGAGTAAAGCGCAAATAAACCAGTTACACAGCCCAGAATGAAAGTCGAGTATTTAAACGTTTAGTAGATATGAACACATATATACATGGAGTATTTACATAACTACTTATATAATATTTTTCGTTATTGATCATGATCGATTCATGGTCCTTATTTACAAGAAAGTTACATACGAGTTTTCTAAAACGCATGGCAAAAGAAGAGCATAAATCTAGTTGATGAAAATATTATCACTGCTCACGGATATATTGAATGGACGCTTGAGATACATAAGAAAAGGACAACTGAGTAGCATAAACTTCTGAAAAGCCTTTCATGTACTGTGTTGGGGGGACAGTCTTCATTTTAGTGGGCTTAGTACTTTGTATCTATGATGCTTGTCAAGAAGATTTCTACCAAACCTAAGAGTAGAGTTACCACCTTTTTAAATACAAGGTGAACGATTAGCAAAACGAAGATTTGAGGGTCAACTATGTTGCGTTTTTTCCAGGACATAGAAACATCAGTACGAGGACAGTTTTATAAGTCGGCAAATTTTTGAGTCTTGAGCAACTTATGCCTCTTAATTTGTGATTGACAGCGGTTGAAAATAGAAAAACTTATACTCCTTACGAAATAAGTAAATTCGTAAGCTCGCTCATAAAGCATTATTTTTACATACAATATTCAGTATCAACAATTTCAATCACTAAGAATTTGTTTATTGAATTCGCTTCTGGTTGTATCAGACAAGTGGCGATAAACGTTCAGGTCTCCTACAAAATATAATAACGCCGGAAGTCCTACATGCAATGATATTGGACGAACGGAGATTAAAAACGTGTTAGGTGGCTCAGATTAAGGGTATCTCAACTGTCTTAATATGAATTAGATCACGAATTGCGCCTTAATTCAGCATATTCTCCATATTTACTATTATTTTCTCTGTGGTAAGATGAGTGGGCTGCATATAGAAGTCGTTACTAAAAAACTTTTATTTAAAGGAAAAAATACGCTGAGAAATAAAACATTTTCTTGTCGAAAGAAAATAACTCGTATTTAAAAAGTCGGTCGACTTTTCACAAGCATCTCTAGAAAGTAAAAATGTGCATGGCGATTTGAATCCAAATGAATTGAAATATATATTTTTTTCATAACTAAATTAAAAACCTAAAACAAAAGAGACAAAATATATTGAAAAAAGCAACAAATATATAAAATAAGTTTCTAAATATATAAAGCATATAAAAAAATATTAAAATTAAAACTATAAAATCTAAAACTTAAAAAAAAAATATTATAAAAAGAAAATATTTTAAGTACTCAAAATTAAAAAAAAAATTATTTTTAAAACAATAAAATCAACAAGTAATGATAGGATCTTAACCAGATTAGTATGAGATCACCTCTGCATCCGATTGATTGCACCTCTGAGATCCGATGCAAAAATAATTATCGAAATCGGTTGACGTGGTCCAAAGTTATGCGGTAACATAACATAAAAAAAAAAATATTCCGACGAACTGATAACCTCCTCCTTTTTTGGAAGTCGGTTAAAAATTAAATTTAAAAGAAAAAATTTTGCTTCCCCGGGATTCGAACATTGGATACCTCTAATGGCACGCCAGCACTTTGCACTTTAGGCCATTTTGACTGCTGGAGCAGTGCGTACATTATCTCCTCAATTGGTTTCTGTCAAAAGAGCTTTTCACCATGAGAGTTGTCAGGGAGCTTTCTTGAAAGACTTTCGTGACCGAATAAACAAAATCTTTCCAACTATCATGTATACTGTTCTTCAGTAGTCTTACAAAAGAATTGCAACTATCTTCGCCAGAATTACCCTTTTAAAGAAACACGAATAGAGAGCCATTTCAAACTGCGTTTAGGAATTGCATACATTTGCCGACATGGCAGCGAAAAAAATAAAAGCAAATTGGACAAATTTCTAGGCGATTTTTGGTGCATATTTGTTCGCGCAACAAGTAAAAAAAGCTTAAATTTTTATAAAAATTGTTTCTTTCTTCACACCTAAAACACTTAACAATGAACATTTACAGTTCGGGAGAGGAGAATAGTTTAGATTCAAATTTTTAAGTGAACATAGCCAAAGACAAGTTAAGGTATGAACACTGCCAGTAAGAATTATAACGCAAAGCGAATTCA